GCACAGCCTAGACGAGATGGCCCAGCACCCTGTGTGGTAGCCATCATCCCGTGAAGAAAATGTGGAAAGGACCCTTCGCACGTGTTGTAGCACAGCGGGGAGCTACCCGGGGTGTTATAAGATGCCCTCTTTAGCTCTGAGATAGCACTAAAGCTGGCTACCAGCTGCCTGTGGGGGTTAGCACTCCCACAGCTGGGATGGGCTGCGCAGGTGGGTGCTCTTCCCCTGCTAAGGCCAGGCTGATAAGCTTGGCCTAAACCGCTGCTGAAGGACAGCGGGTTCCAGAGCTCCCAGCGAAACGAAACAGAGGCACAACAGGCTCTGCTGGGCTGCAGGGGAGGTGGGATGTTCAGACGACCTTTCTCTGCACGTTTCACAACAGACAAAATGCACATCACTGGGGCTAAACCCAGCAACAGGCTCATGTTCGAGTTGTTGAAGCTAAAGGTTTTTTCAAGTCAAAATCAAGAGTGCTGTGCTGAGCTAGAACTAGAGAGAAGGACGCATGGCTATCCACCTCTGCACGCACTATTGCATCTTGGCTCCTCTACAGTCACAGATAAATTTTATCTGATTTACCCCTTAATCAACACACAAAACAGAGATTTAGAAATAAGACATACCAGATCAGATCCATAGTTCCTCTAGCCCAGCACATTGTGCTGGCCACCTCTGAACGCAAGATGCTTCAGAAGAAATTGCTAGAAAACCTGTACTGGGTAGGTAAGGAATAATCTGCTCTAAATACTGGATTTCCTTCCCTATAATATTTGAGCTCCGAAGGCTGACGTTTGAACACAGAAGCCACCTCCCGAATACTTCCCAAAATCCTTGTTTTTCTGTATTTCTTCTTGAAGCACTACTAACTTTTTCACCTGAACGACAACCGTGGCTGTACTTCTATAGTTTATTTACAGACTGAAAGCTACGAAAAGCAGGGCTGGACTGCCTGAAGTTCATGGTTAAGGTCCCAAATCCACCAAGGTTAGTGGCTCTCTTTCAGGCACGGAGGAAGACACCATAATCACGCTACGTAACAGTGATATCGCTACCACCCTCTTCTTCCCACAGAGGAAGGATTTCCTCGCCTATGCAGAGGTACAGAGCTCAGCACAAGACAGCCACCATTCAGAAAGCCACCAGAAGGGGCTGACTTACCGAAACGCTCTGTTCATCATCTCATAGTGAAAGTGCTCAGGAGCCAGCCCTACCACCACTGCGTTGGGGTCATCAGTGGCTATCCCTGGAAAACCAAAACATGACTCTGAGCAAACAGAATCTTATTCACACTTAGCAGTTCACAGTCAACAAGTGCAATTAATCACTCTGCAGCAAAAATGAGCATTTTCGGACACATCACATAGACTAGTTTTATGTCTTTTAGAAATGAGGAAAGCATCTGTGGAAAAGGTGTTGATCTATCCAGACTCTGCCATCCTTCACGATACGATGAGCACTGCAGCTGGATAGTTCAGCGACTGCTGAACAGTGATGCTCTCACTGCCTCCACTGAAATGCAGCAGACCAGACCACTCACTTTTTTAACTAAATGACTTTTTATTATCTAAGAATCTCTTCCTACATATATTCATCTGCTTTGTAAGACAGTAAAGCAGGAGGACTAGTGAATTCCATTCAGTTTTTCTATTCCGTCTAGTCACAGAAAACTCCACTTAGGCTAAAAAGCCTGACTGTTGTTCTACATATCAGTCTGGTTACTGCAGGTGGTATTGCAGCATGACCTAGAAGCTGTTATACTAGATGAGTTTTGGCTCTTCTGGAAGGTCTTTTTTTAACGTGGATTAGCCCCCGTCGAGAACAGCTTGCACCTCCTTTGTCCCGCACTGCTCCGGAGGAGCACAACTGTTTTTACATGGTACTGCCACCTCTAAACAGAACCAGCGATGGAAGCAGAGTAGCATCTACAGGAGAAAGAGGAGAACCAGAGAGTTTTATTTAGGACAGGTTAAGTATCAGCTGCATTCTGCACTTGCTGGGGGTTTTGCTCCGCCTTCACACAGCATATTCTCTACACCTTTACTGGGATAACTAGAGCTCCTGGGTCTCCAGAGAGTGGCATCGCAGCCTGCTGGCTGATGTCTCCTGCCGCATGTCCTTCAGTTAGCTCAGGCAGCAAAATGCGCTCAGAGATGCCATGTGGATTTGTGACACCATCCAAAAGCATCTGGGTCCTTTAACCAAGAATGGATTATGTTCATCCATCTGTGACCAACTTTATAGAGAGATTAGCCAAGAATAGTTCAATAGCAGCCATTAACGGGAATTTAAAACATGCTTCGTTGTATTTATATGTTTCAAGAGCAGCACTGAGAGAATATGAGCAAAACTGCTTGTAGCAAAAAGAAACAAAACAATCCGTTCCAGATCCAAGCAATACAGAAAATGCCACCAATGTACTCCGCTGATACCTCTGTCTTTGCCATCTTTTACAAAATCAGCATCAGCTACTGTAAAACTGATGGAAAGATCCTAAATACACGGAGACTAAACTGATTTAACCACCTTTGGTGAAATAGCTGCTGCCTCTGCTGTTTCTGACCCAAGAAAACCTTCCTGAGAACGCAAATACAGAATATTGCTGGGGGCATATTTCTCTGGATATGATGTTAGGTGGAACAGATTATCAGCTTTCATTGCTCTCAGAGCCCACAGAGGCTTTTCTCCTGAACACTTATCTTGCTGAAGATTACTGACTAGACTATGGCACTAAAATTTAACAGGAAATGTCTAGCTCCTAGCAAGATTAGAACCTACTTAAATTACTGAAACCAGGAGAAAATGAAAGTCTGAATATACAATATACAGTTTTCAACTCTGAGTACGTTAAAAATATGGGTATATCTTCACTACTCTTGAAACAATGATGTGGTTAAGTCAAGGACTAACTGTCCTAGCTTCAGGCACCTGCCAGACATGTCCAAGTTAGAATACATCATCTTCTACTCCCCTTATTGTTGAGGGAGGGAATTGGGAACATCTGAAAGTAAAGCAAGTTTTAACCAGCTCTTTAGAGACAACAATCTAGAGAAGTCAGGGCGATGAACCTTCTGTCACCAATTAAGGTATCAAAGTACATGGAGTGAGACCTAGATGTTCAATACAAGATAAGTAACAATAACTACCTGGAGATTTTGCATTTAATAATAATCTATTAAGAGAGAAATAGCCTCCTGCGTGTGCCTACACACTGGCTTTTCAGCTCTTTATGAGCAAAACCTCTGTACAATAGCTGAGGGAAACCAGATTTCCAACAAACTGGCACATCCTTGCTATAAAACAAATCAGCACTGGTAGGTGCAATAAATCTCCAATGATCTAGTGATAAGTATTACTTTTTTTTACACTGGAAATTAATAAAAAGTACTGAGTTTTACCCAAATTCCTGACTATTTGAAGGCTTTGGCTGCCATTTCCACTACTCCTCAAGAAGCTATGACTTCAGACTGTTTAATGTTAATTTAAAAAGAAGAAAGGACCTTTATGACTCTGGAGAGTTCCACATTTCAGGCTTCATCAGGGCTAGCAGTATACATATATGATTGTCATTCTACCAAATAGAGAGCGCTATGTTTCCTTAGTTGTTCAGTAACTTCCCCCACGCTGTTTTCTGACCACCTCACCTGTGAAATCGGGCAGGGCCTTATCGTCCACCAGAAGGAGAGGCCGCACTTGCTTTTGCTCCAGAAGATTTCTGGCTGCCGTCAGAGACGTGAAGATCTCATTTTCTGCAATGTCAAATCCCAGTTTCGTCAGCCTCTCCAGCAGGTCTCTCTTGCACTCCTTCGTCATGTTCGTCACAAATTGAATGATAACCGGAGCGCTGTGCAGCCTGATGGATGAAGAGCAAAGGCAAATTGGCCACAGCATCCTTCTATTTACGTCTCTTTGGGACTGAAAAAGGACCATTTGTCTAAAGGCTGTGGATGAAAAGACTGTATACATCCCAGAGTACTGGTGCCACACAAGAACCATGAGGTTGTTAACTTCTGTAGACTGAGAGGGCAACGTGAAACAGATGGCAAGAATCACAGCTACCAGAACAAGACCAAGTCTCCCCTGCTTTGCTTCTACCAGGACAAGTCTAGAGGAAAATGGTGTTCCAAACTCCATCTTCATAGTAGTAGCAAACACATCTATGATCAACAATAACTAGTTTGAAAAGCCTTTTCATTCAAAACAGATAATAAATAAACCAGCCCTGCATTCTAGATCAACAGCAGCCTGAAACAAAATAAATAAACAAAAGAGCCTTGTTGCTAAATTAATATATTGAAGTCCACACGCCGGGTGAATTTCACAGCAGCTGCGGCTCATTCAGAGATGCAGGATGCTCTAGGAGCCTATGTTACCTGTGCGGCGATTTTATGCCAGCTTTTGCAGCCATTTCTCCCTTTACTGAGAAACACCAATATCACATAAAACCACATTATTGCCCTACACTGACAGTACATGCTACCAAACAATCAAATAATTTTAAGTGACAATTTCAACAGCGTTCCCTTTAATTATTCCCCCACCATCACTTTCTGTTTGTTGCTATAGAAACGAACATTGGCATCACGACTGCATGGAGAACATCAAAATAAAGTTGGTCAACGCTAGAGACTTGCTTGCACCTGCCACCTCTTTCTCTTGTTTGTCAGATACGCTGACCCTTCACAAGTATGAACTGGTAAAAACGTCCCCTGGCTGCTAATAAAATATTTTTTTTTTTCCTATGGACCTCAATACTGAGAAGTAACCCTGAAAATGGAATCTATCCATTTGTTCCCTAAGCAAGCTGCATTCCAGTCATTTCAGTGTCTCTTTAGGAAGGACAATGACATGGATTAGCAGAAAAGAGCATGAGAAATTTTTTTTTTCAAACCCTATGCAAAAAGACCTGGCTGCTCTTGGCAGTGAAATGACACCTGATCTCCACACCTGTGACAGCAGGCTGAAGCTGACCAACAGCACCAGACTCTTTCTGCACCTCATCCCTTCTCTAACCCCCTCCCTTGCCAAAGCAAGGCTCAGCAGAAATCAAGCAGAAGCAGGAGACAAAGGAGAATCAGTGGCTTTATAAAACAGTTTGTCTTCTGATTCTACAGAAGCCATTTCTTCTGTCCTGTCTGCTGCCTGGGGGTTTGGAGGTGAGCAGCAAACAGGACAGATATTGAGCTCTTCTCGACAACGTCACCACTTTTATATATAAATATATATGGATTTTTGAGAATGCTGACTCTCACCTGGCACAAGTTCTCCCTGCAGCATGAAACACCATGCAGACAAGGTCCAGCAAATGAATGGGTAATGAATGAGTACCCAATGCTTTAGCAGTTTTTACTTCCTAGCAATTTTACATCTTTAGGAGATAATTATTTCCACAGAGTTATTTGTGAAAAGAAATGCAGAGTTTCCTTATCCCTCTGTGAACTTTTCCTCTGAGCAATAGTCTAGCTTTATAAAAATCTAAGCAGCCAATACAACTCCAGTAAAAGCTTCTCGTCCTTAATTCAACCCTATTCCTCTCTCCCGATTCTTACTGTCACAGCATCTTAAGGTGTCCTCCCTCACTCATCACGATAGCACTTTGTGTTTTTCTTCATCTATTGCAAGATGTCTTCTCCAGGAAAACAGTTTCATAACGCAGTTCAAAGACCCCTGGGGTTGCATATCGCATTTTGCCACTGACTTGGCCAGATTAAGTCATTTTACTATGCCTCAGTTTCTTTAGGCACCCTTTCATCAGAAGAGAAAAAGGTACTTCACTGTCCTGTTTATTAACGTGTTGAAATTCCTACAAAAGATAGGCTGTTATCAAATGTTCCTCAAACTAAAAAATGACTGAGGTTGTTTACCTAGCAGAAAGAAACTTTAAAAATAATAGAGCAAAGCCTTGGCTGAAAGACCAAATGAAATGAGAACTCTGCAAAGGATGCCTTGCTCACTAGGCCAATTTATTCTCTCTGTTACTCCACTTTAGCTCACCACAGACCTAAGGGCGCAGACAAACAATCAGGTTCCTGTAGCTAAACAGAGCACCGAGGAACAGCTCACCTGAAATGACTTTCGTGTACATGGGGTAATTCAGGTTAAATAAGTACTTTCCACTTTGCCTAAGGCTGTAGTCCCATATGAATTACCAGAAA